CTAGCTAGCTAGCTAGCTATGTATGTATCTATCTATCTATTGATCTACCTATCGATCTATCCATCTATCCATCTATCTATCCATCTATCTATCCATCCATCGATCCATCCATCGATCCATCCATCCATCCATCCATCCATCCATCCATCCATCCATCCAGCTAGCTAGCTAGCTAGCTAGCTAGCTAGCTAGCTAGCTAGCTAGCTATCTATCAACCTATCAACCTATCTATCTATCTATCTATTTATCTATCTATCTATCTATCTATCTATCTATGCATGTATACATTTATGTAGGTAGGTATGTAGGTAACGCAAGTATGTAGTAGGTAGGTAGGTAGGTAGGTAGGTAGGTAGGTAGGTAGGTAGGTAGGTAGGCAGGCAGGCAGGCAGGCAGGCAGGCAGGCAGGCAGGCAGGCAGGCAGGCAGGTAGGTGTGTATTGCAGGGGTGTCCTTGGGTTGAATGCTTGCGAGAGCGAGCGTGAGGCAAAAGCACCACGAGCGGATAGCTTTTGAGACAGCTCAGAAGAAGGCGGGCCGTGGGAGGTTGTGCGGTTCACGGTTGGGGTGCTCTGTCAAGGAGTCAAACAGCAGCAGTTGCAGAAGCAGACAAGAGCCTACCAGCCCCATCCCTTCCAGAACAGTCTTTGGTCCCCAAAGTCGGGAAACCCATAAACCCTAAACCCTAAACCCTAAACCCTAAACCCTAAACCAACTGAAACCTCTCACATTTTCAGTCACGACAGGCTGCTGACCTAGAGCTCCTGGGCCAGCAGGAGGAGCCCGGTTGCCCAAAAGATCTCGGCTCCGGGAGTCGCCGCTTCAGAAATTAGTGCATCGAAACTTAGACCTAAACATATTATAAGGGAAAAAATATGTTTTCCCCTATAATATGTTTAGGACATCGAAATTTAGACCTTAAGTAGAAGTCTTATGACAGCCGCTTCAGAAATTATAGTGCATCCAAGTTTAGACCTTGAGTAGTCGTCTTATGACAGGGGCTTCAGAAATTATAGGGTCTCCAAGTTTGAATGAGGTGCCCCTGACTCCCAGACCCCTTCAAGTGCACTTATGCGGTTCGTGAGCTTACAGCTATAAACGTACACGGCTGTGTGAACATCTAGGGTTAGAAGCAAATGGTTCATTAAACTGAATGCTGCCAGCTTTTCTATAGCTGTCTCGATGTATGTTTGTGTACATACATGCTTTTGTACGCATGTATATGTGTATGCACATATATATATATATATAGATATGTACACACAAGCACACGCGTTTATATTTATTAACGAAGCCAATATGCCCATATGGAGATATATCATATGCATGGTTCACATATGAATATGTGCATTTAGTGCCAGCGCGTACATGCAAGGCAAGGTGTACTCTGATGCAGGCAAGAAGAGGATGTGCCAAGTTGCAGTGTGTGTATATGTCATGTGCTGGAGAAGCGCGACGCATGCACTTACATCTGCGTCTGCATCTACCTGCACGGTGCTGCACACATGCGCAGCATACACTTAGCAGGCTCTTGGCATGCACGGATATATGGGTGTATGGATGCATGGATGTATGGGCGTATAGATGTGTGTACCCATGGATGGATGGATGGATGGATGGATGGATGGATGGATGGATGGATGGGTGTATGGGTGCAAGGGTGTATGGATGTAGGTGTGTTTGCCTGTATGTATGTACGCACATATGTAGGCGTGTTTGTCTACATGGATGAACGCATACATGCATGTGGCGGTCTGTGGTTGTGTGTTTGCACAGTATGTGCTGTTTGCCTGCCTGCCTGCCTGCCTGCCTGTAAAAACGGTATGTAGATGTCCATGACATACATACCTACTTGTAGCTACAGCATCTTTAGGTTAATGTGCTAGAGAATATCATCAAGCCAGCCGAAGCCAGCTCGAAGCAGAAATCCAGTACGGCAGCAATGGATTCGTGGAATGCCGCAGCGTTTTGGGCAGAGGTCCAACATGCGGCAGCAGGCGCAGAAACATAAGGACGAGAAGGACGGAACTTGTTCGAAGGGTTTAGATATGCCAGACTCAGCTTTTGGGCTTCCGGGTTCAGGGCTCACAAACCCTAAATTCAATGGCTAAAGCCCTCAACCCTTGTCATCGACACAATTATAGCAAGGACTGCCGTGCTTTGCTATTCTCTTGCTGTCCGTTGTTGCATCCACTTCTGCTGGCCGTCGCAGGTTTGACCGGTAGCAGAACAGGAAGCTTCAGCAACGAACCACCGTTGTCAAGGAATAGTTCACTGCATTGTTACTACACCTCAAGATCTCACTCGAGTTGCACCAGTTGTTCGCGCGCTCTTGTACGAAAGCCTTTCGATCTAAGCACAATGCCATAATGCCTCACGGCCCAAGAGTCGAACACTTCAAGCCCTGTAAGGCTCGTAGCCCGTAACAACCGATAAAACCTTTACAGCAAGAGTCTACAAATATAGGGGCCTAAATAACTACCACTACTATTTTAGGGGTTCCAATTATAGTATAAAGGACCCCCAAACCCTATTCTAAGTATTAAGGCCCCTATACTACTCCCCTTCAGCCCGTACTTGCAACAAAGAGTAGGGTCCTTAATGCAATGACTCCCCAGCAAGGGCTTGAACCCCTCAAGACCTTTAAGCCCTAAGCCATCAACACGCCCAAAAGCCTTAAAAGCCTTTAAAGTCCCCTAAAAGCCTCAAAGCCAGAAACCCTAAACCCTCAACCCTAAACCCCTAAAGCCCCAA